ATATTACGATCAGCCAGGTTTAGGATGTCATTTTTTAAAATAATTTTTAACGCTAACTTAGTTCAAAGGGAAAAAAAGAAAATTGTATAAAAAAGAAAACTCTTCAGTAATACACACTGAATAAGAAAACAAAAATTGGAGTCCCCCTGCGGGCGTTGAACGCTGGCCCTTCCGAACCGAAGCTCGGAAATGTGACCACTTGGCTACATAGGGACTCCATATGACGTGGTTAGAAAATTTAACAGTACCTATATGCATATGCAATGTAGTTGTACTGACAGCCTAACCTATCTTTGGAAAATGTGCTAAAAAAGAAATGACAGAACTAAGTGAGACTAACCTCTATGCAATTCGTAGCCTCTCTAACGATTGTCTTTCTTCTAACAATAGTAGCTAGCCTTTATTTAACAATTCAGGCCATAAGTTGCCCGAGGAAATCTTCAATGGCTTATAAGGTTTATTTCTGAGCTGAGCTCAAAAGCATTTAAACTAAACCCTGAAGCTTTTTAAAAAGCTTTGCATCAGTTATAGAGTAATTAAAAGTCCATTATTACATCTTTTCCAAACAACGAAACCTTTAAATTTTAAATGTGACGCGTACTTTTCGAAGTCTTCACCTATAGGTTACGAGCTAAGAGAGAGGGCTTAAAGCAAATAAAGCATGGCTACATGGGTATATTACGATCAGCCAGGTTTAGGATGTCATTTTTTTAAAAATAATTTTTAACGAAAACTTAGTTCAAAAAGAAAAAACGAAAATTGTATGAAAATGAAAACTCTTCAGTCATACAAAAATACGAAAACAAAAATTGGAGTCCCCCTGCGGGCGTTGAACGCTGGCCCTTCAGAACCGAAGCTCGGAAATGTAACCACTGGGCTACAGAGGGACTCCATATGACGTGGTTAGAAGATTTAACGGTACCTATATGCACATGCAATGTAGTTGTATTGACAGACTAACCTATCTTTATGTGCTATAAAGGAAATGACAGAACTAATG